CAAATAACCCCCCTTGCCGCAGCCCACTCAGCCTAGCATCCCCACCACCCACCCAATGGTAACCCGGTCCAAGGTCGGCATATCTAAACCCAAACACATTCTCAACCTTAACTCCATGGCCCAAATTTCCCCTCTCCCACCCACTTACCGTAGTGCTCTTAAGGACCATAATCGGTACAATGCTATGTGTGATGAATTTAATGCCTTGATTAAAAATGAAACATGGGAATTAGTACCCCCCCTCCTCCACCCAAAATATTATTACCGGCAAGTGGCTTTTTCGCCACAAATTTGGCCCTACAGGTGAACTGTCCAGGTACAAAGCTCGATGGGTGGTTCGTGGATTTAATCAGCGCTTTGGAATCGACTACGACGAGACTTTCAGTCCGGTTCTCAAACCTGCTACGGTACGCATTGTTCTCACTCTTGAACTCAGTCGGGGTTGATCCATCCATCAGCTTGATGTCAAGAATGCCTTCCTGAATGGCACACTTCACAAGACAGTCTATGCCAACCAGCCTTCTGGTTTTCAGGAGCCAGCCTGGCCAAATTATGTTTGCAGGTTGAAAAAGGCCTTGTATGGCCTCAAGCAAGCCCCCCCGCTCCTGGTACCAGCGATTCGCAGGTTTCCCTCTCACTTTGGGGTTCCGAGGTTGCAAGAGCGACACATCTCTGTTTGTCTACTCCGAGGGAACTGACATGGCCTACCTTCTACTCTCTGTGGACGACATTGTACTCACGGCTTCTTCCACCGCTCTTCTCACTTCCCTCACTCAGCAGCTTAAAGGGGAGTTTGCCATGACAGATATGGGGGACCTCAATTTCTTTCTCGGCATTAATGTCCAGCGCAGTGCTCGGGGACTCTTCCTTCATCAGACACAGTTTGCACACGAGATCCTTGAGTGGGCTGACATGCTTCACTGCAAGCCTATCTCCACCCCGGTTGACACTAAGGCGAAGCTGTCAGCCACGTCCGGCACACCCCTTCCAGATCCCACCATCTACAAATCCATTGTTGGAGCCTTATAGTATCTGACGTTCACCCATCCCGATCTCACCTATGTCGTACAGCAGCTCTGTCTTCATCTCCATGCCCCCCGCAGCTCTCATCTCACGGCTATGAAGAGGGTCCTGCGCTACATCCACGGCACGGCCACACATGGCATCACTCTCCACCGCACCAGCACAGATTCCTTACAGGCATATTCGGATGCTGATTGGGCAGGATGCCCCGACACTTGTCGCTCCACATCTGGTTATTGTGTCTTCCTTGGGGACAATCTCATCTCTTGGTCCTCCAAGAGACAAGCCACCACTTCTCGCTCCAGTGCTGAGGTAGAATACCGCGCCGTGGCAAATGCAGTAGCGGAGACTAGTTGGGTCAGAAATCTTCTCCTTGAGCTTCATCAACCTCTTCGACGTGCTACACTGGTCTTCTGTGACAATGTCAGTGTTGTATACCTTTCGTCTAATCCCGTCCAGCATTAGCGCACCAAACATGTTGAGGTCGATATTCACTTTGTCAGAGACAAAGTTGCCCTTGGTTATGTTCGAGTTCTGCATGTTCCCTCCTCTTCTCAGTATGCTGATATCTTCACCAAAGGGCTCCCGTCTCTCATATTTTCCGATTGCAGACACAGTCTCGGCGTTCGACCGTCACCAGTCACGTAGTTGGGCGCATGTTAAATATAGTATGTATATATTTAATATTAATGTTGTAATCATTGTTAATATGGTAGTTGCCTTGCATAGGATTCCTTTCGTAGTTAGGATTCCTTTGTACTATTTATACGAGGCTTAGTCCTTCGTAATTATTTACAGAAATTAATTATTCTTCAGGTTCAATAAACTAAATCTGCATGATATCTTCCATTAAAAGGTGCCATGGTTATGGTGTTCAATCATTCCACCTAATTTTTTTAATTCAATTTCTAGAATTAAAAACTTATCCGAATTAGATTTGATTTTTAATTGGACATCCTTGAATTTTTTTAAAAGAGTAAATTCCATAATTGGTCCTTTATAACAGAGGGGTTTCCATATTTAGTCCTCTATTATCAAATATTACTCCCGTAGTCCTTTTTCTAAGGGTATCTTTCCACAAATGGTCCTTTTTTTGATCTTCTGCCGTGTTGGTGTTAATTTAAAGGCTAAAAGTATAATTTGACGTCAACATTATGTCTAGTGACGTGTTCTGATATTGGTTAAGTGGATAACACAAAAATAATGACTATGATTGTGGGCTAGGATTCTGACGAAAGATCACATTTGTAGACTATAGTTGTCGTAAAAAGCGACTGTAATTCACAAACGATGCAAACGGAACAGCCTTTGGAATTGTGTATGACAAAAAAGATATATTATCATTGTGAAATTACACTTTTAGCCCTCAAATTAACACCAACATGATAGAAGATCAAAAATAGGACTATTTGTGGAAAGGTACCCATAAAAGTTGGACCACTTGGGTAATATTTGATAATAGAGGACTAAATAGGGAAATCCCCCTGTTATAAAGGATCAATTATAGAATTTACTCTTTTTAAAAATTTATTTTCTATTTTTCTTCAAAATCGTTTTAAGGGGATAAAAATATTGGGTTTTTAGATTTAATTTCAAAAATAAAAAACTTGACCAGAATTTTTTTCTCAGTATTTTACCTATTTTTTAAATTTAATTTCTATAAACATAAGCTTACCAATATTAAAGATGATTTTTTGTGGTGCTTTCCTTATGGGCGGAAATTCAATTCCCATTTTTTCTTAAAATTGCTTTAATTAACAAACAATATTGTCCAGAGCATTTTTTCTCAATATTTTACCTGTTTTTTAAATTTATTTTCTATTAATATAAGCTTACCAATATTAAAGACATTTTTTTGTGCTTTCCTTATAAACGGAAATTCTCAACAAATTCAATTTATTTTTTTTCCTCAAAATTTCTTTAATTAACAAACAATATTGACTTTTTAAATTGCAACATTAATGACTCTTTAATTGGTCATCCCAACAACAACAACAAGAACCCAGTTAAATCCCACAAGAGTAGGGTCTAGGGAGGGTGTGTGTACGCAAACCTTGCCCCTACTCGAAAGTAGAGAGGCTGTTTCCAAAGAGACCCCCGGCTCAACATCGAAAGTTGCAGTGTTTGACTAATTGCTACTTCATTAATTAAAGAAGCGCAGATAGTTTAGAGATACATTTTGATTTATTCCATCACACCCTAGATAATTGGTCATCCCAATTGGCTATAATTACCTTTTTATGGAATATTCACTTTACTTAAATAAAAACAGAAGGATTTGTATATATATTAAATTTGATATATTAAATTTGATAGTTAAACTCTTACGAATTAACTTTCTTTGAGTATGTCAGACTTATGAGTGTATATTGAAGGAGCAGAGCCAAAGAAAGGGAATATTAGAATGAGAGGATATTTGAGTTGAAGACCCAAAATATATTATTTCTTTATAAAAATCTGATTTTAAAAGATCGGAACAAGTGCAAGGTCTATGAGTCTACTTTTGATTGTGGGTCTGTCCCTAACAAAATCAAGAACAAGCTAGCCAGCTAGGTCTAGAAATCCACTTTAGTTTGCCCGTATATCCTTTCGCAAGAAAGATTGTTATATAGCTAGGCTAGGGTTTCCTATCTTTCACCTAGCTCTGTAATTCGTTGGTTTGTAACTTGAGTGAGTAGAGGACAGAGGAAGAAAATGGAGGGCTTTGAAGGTAAAATTTTTGTTTATATTGAATTTCATTTTCGCTTTGTATTTAACTCATGGCATAACTTCAATCATAGGTCCTCTACTTTGGAAGTGGCACAATTGGGGAAGTACGACAGTAAATACCAAGCCCAAAGAAGAAGACTCAAGGCATTTTTATATTTAAATTTTATTTTAAATTTATTTTTTATTTTTTATTTTTTGTTGTTTTTATTCCCGAACTCATATATGGAGTAATTGATTATCTAGAGATAAAATTTATTCAAATCAATTTATAGCAAGACAATCGCTGAGACTATAGCGAGAAAACAAGCAGAAGGGTGGATGCAAGTAATAAAATGATTTAATTTCAAAAGGTTGTTTTCATAAATAAAATTTGTGTGCCACCTAATAGCCTTGATTCATGAAGTAATTTTTTATTTTTGTTTTGTGATTTTAAAAAAAATATAATTGAAAATTACCTATTGTCCTATTATACATGATGCTTTCTCATATTATTGACTAAAGAATTACTTGAGACATTCATCAAAACTAACCATTACTTAAGAAACTTAATAGTTATCATTATTATAGATCCATTAAAAATAACAAACCTTGTTGAGATGCAATATCAAACACAAAGTGCTTGAATATTCAACAATTTTTGGAGCATACCATTAGTATTTTTTAAATCTCATTTTCATTGTTTTATAAAATTATATTTTTCTTTTAGTTGTATGGCTCAAGAATCATGCATATATTTACCTAGGTTGATGAGGTTTTATTGTGTTTGGTACTCGCAGGGTGATTTGGTCTTTGACAAGAGATTAGGAGAGGGATCTTTCGATTCTATATATACATTTATCTTGGCCAAAAAAAGTATACCATTAACATTGAATGTATTTATTTGAGAGAAGTCCTCATATAAAAGTATACACCAGACTTGAGAGAAATAATGACAGATCTAAAGTATAGAAACAGTGTGTTTTTATTGTGGAACTGCTGTCCAGAACAATGTGCCCATACATATAAATAGAGGACTAAACAACACAACCATTACAAATAGACACAACAGTTTCTAACCAACACATCTGTTGGAAACTGTCATAAAACTGCCTGTAACTAGTAACTGCCTAACTGCCTGACTGTCTACCTTTTTTTTTTTT